ATAATTGATGTTGGACATTTTTTCATGTGCTTATAACAGGGCATTGGCATTTCCTCTTTGGAGAGGTGTCCTTTTAGCTCTTCTGCCCTCCTTTTTTTTTTTTTTAATTAATTTATTTATGCATACAGAACTGGGGTACAGGCCAGAGATGCAGAGGGTGAGAGGATTCACCAGAGACAGAGTGGGGAGCAGAACAGGCAGATCAACGAAGCACACCGCTGAGGGGAGCAGCGGGCGGGCCAGGAGAGGTCTGCCACGCCATGTGGTCACCTCCGGGGCAGGCAGGGATCGAACTCAATGCTGAAGCAGCCCCAGCCTCTCAGTGCTGTGCTTTAACCCGCTGCACCGCCAGGGAGGGCCCGTTCTGCCCTCTTTTTGACTGGATTCTTTATTCTGTTTTGTTGAGCTATGTAAGCACTTTGTAGGTCCGTGATATCAGTCCCTTATCAGTTTTGTGGAGTAAAGATGCTTTCTTTCAATCTGTGGGGTATCTCTTCATCTTGGTTATTGTCCCTGTTGTTGTATAGAAACTTTCTAGTTTAATGTAGTACCAGCTGTATATCTTTTGTTTTGAGGGACAAGTCTGTAAAGATGTTTCTTAAGAGTTATGCCATGGAGTGTTTTGCCTATGTTTTCTTCTATGTATTGTACAATTTCAGGCCTTTACTTTCAGGTCTTTAATCCAAATTGAATTGATCTTTGTGTATGGTATAAGGTAGTAGTCTAATTTCATTCTTTGGCATGTAGTGATCCAGTTTTTCCAGCACCATTTATTGTAAGAGACTGTGCTTGTTCCAGTGCATATTCTTTACTCTTGGATCATAGATTAGTTAGTTGTCCGTATAGGTACAGCTTTATATCTGGGTTTTCTATTCAGTTCCATTGATCTGTGTGCCTGTTTTTGTTCCTGTGCCATGCTGTTTTAATTATTATGACTTTGTAATATTTGTAGCTTAAAGTCTGGGAGTGTCTGTCATACCTCCATTCTTCTGTTCTTTTTTGCACTTTGGCAAAGAACCACTTTGGTGGTTTTGTGGGGGGGGGGTGTGCGTGGGGGTGTGTGTGGTTCTATAGCATTTCATCAGTATTTGTTGTATTTCTTTTAAGAATGCCATTGAGATTTTTATTGGAATTATATTGAATGTGTAAATGCTTTTGGTAGAGTGGTCATTTTAATAATGTTAATTCTGCTGATCCATGAGCAGGGAATGGCTTTCTATTTCTTGGATCTTTTATTTTTTTTAATCAATATTTTATAGTTTTCTTTGTATAGGCTTTTCACCTTCTTTGTGAGATTTATTTCAGAAAGATTGATCATATTTTATGATATGGGTCGCATATGTGCAGACTAACCCTTGTATATATACTTCATCTACATATATTAACATAAACATAAGTTTCTATTGATTTCTTTAACTTTAATCTTAGCTCAGTGTTCATTTTAGAATGCCTTCATTTCATGTTTATTTGTAATATCCTTTGACAGTGAGACCTAATACCCAGCACTTACAGTCCATTTACTTACTTGTTCAACCCCTGTATTCCTTTGCCCATGCTGTCCTTATATTATAACTCACATTCCCCACAAGAATATGTTTACCATTTTGAATATTGTGGTGATTTTTTTTTTTAAAGATTTATTTATTTGTACATACAGAACTGGGGTACAGGCCAGAAGCTCAGGGGCGGCGAGAGGCTTCACCAGAGACAGAGTGGGGAACAGAACAGGCAGATCGACGAAGTACACTGCTGAGGGGAGCAGCGGGCGGGTCAGGAGAGGTCTGCCACGCCATGTGGTCACCTCCAGGGCAGGCGGGAATCGAACTCATGCGGAAGCGGTTTTAGATTCTCAGTGCTGTGCTTTAACCCGCTGCGCCACCAGGGAGGGCCAATTTTTAACACTTATGTTCTAGTGGATAAGTCATGGATGTTTGTTGTGTTTATTATCTTGTGATTTTACCTGCAGTGCTAGCTTTTAGGTGTGTACATATGTTTTAACATCAATAGCATAACCTGAGGTGTCTTGGTATGTCATCATGATTCATTAAAATTATTTACTTGAGCTCAAGTAAGATATTTTCTTAAACTTTGCATTTCTTGATAATCTACATAATAAAAACAAGCTACATTCTCTCTTTTGTAATTTATTATACTCTTCTGCAAAAGGAAGTTTATCCTTATTAAAGGCTTTGTTGTATGTAAAGGGAACAAGTTGAATGAAATATTTGTAGTGTCTTCTAGCTTGAAAGTCCTGGCTGAAGATCTTCTAAAAGACAATCACCTTAAAGCCAGACAATCTAAAATTTTCCATTTGCTCACTGAGTCCTGACTGTATGAGATTGGCTCTTGAGTCTACTTTCCTAGCTGCTTTTTTTGTGGGCCATCTTAATGGCCCATTCTTAGGGTGCCAAAGATCATGTATTTATGGCATAGGACCTAAGATCAACTTAACTTTAGCTTTAGTGCCCTGGTATTTAGGTTCCAATGATCCTGTTGGGGAGAAACACACCTGAGTTTAAAAAGCTATACTATAAAGCTGAGAGTTCTCAGTTGTCATGTAGGTCAGCTTTTAAACTTAAAGTTTGACTTTTGGCCTATCACTTTCTCCAGACTGCAGAACTTTACCTAGAAAGTGAAGCAGGGTTCCATGGGATGACCCCAAAGATTCCTTACAGGTAGGGTTTTATTACAGGTAGTAAGATAGATCTGGCTTGCAGTTTCAGATCTTTGTAACCAAGATATTCTGACAAGAATTGCAAATGATTGGTCTTTCTGAAGCATACGCATCAGGCCATCTATCCTTTTTTGTTTGATTAAGCATGCATATGCATGCATGCATGAGCACATGCATGTGCGCACACAGTGCACAAATGTAACACGTTTTGGAGTATGAGGCCAGTAGTAGTATTTAGATGGCTCAGGTTGTATCAGGGGAGATGTTATTATGGTGATGACCTTGGAGGAACAGAACTGGAGTGGTTATTACTGGTGTTTGTGAATCAGTACTTCTTAAATGATCTTCCTTTTATAGCTATTCTGTAGGACCTGTGAATGGTACAGAAAATTGAGAGAGTATGGTGAGTTCAGTATGACAAATCCAGTGAATTATACTAAAGAAGCTTTAGCTCTAAAAGCTAGAGGTTGTGGGATGTCATTATTCCCTTATGTCGATAATCGGCTGCCCGTCACTGAGTTGTTCTTTGAGGCCCACATCATATTGGTTTAGTAGGCGACTTTGAGCCTTGATTTAAAGTCGTCTGATCCACTGTTCCTGATATGGTCCCACATTTCTAAGTGAAGATGAATGTTGCATATTTTGGCTTACAGGGTTAAATCTGTAGGTTGAACTTTTATGGTACTAATTTACATGCAGATTCACATTGGTTGTAACAGGAAGGGTGTCTGGAATGTATGCCAGGTCTTAGGAGTCATGCTTAGTGTTACTAAGTAGATTTAGTCTCCTCAAGAGGTGAAAAGAATTGCTGATTTCAGAAGTGAACAGCAGATGTCACTGTATCTCTACGTACTAGATTTCTGGCTCATAACTGTGAGTCTTAATACATCTCCCAAACCATTCACCTTAAACTGAGTGTTTATGGCTATATGATTCTGTAAGCCTTAGGCTCACAGCCCAACTTGAAAAGCCCAAAATGGTTTCCCACTATTTCTTTCACTATCCTTTTTAGTCTGTTTGTTCTCAGTTTATATATTGACATTATCTATGTTGCCAAGCAGCTAACTGGTGACATTTTTCCTCTCAACCTTTCATCGGTTGTTTAGGAGCACAGACAGTTTTTCATTTTTGTTTCAGCAGGGTCAAAACTTAAGAATTCTAGGCCTTTTTTTTTTTTTTTTGCTGCTGCTGCTTTTGAAACCCTTCTAATAGGAAAGATGCCACTGCTCTCCGAATTGAGGTGCTAAATATCAAAGGAAATTGCTATTTTCTTACTCTACTTGAATTTATAACTTTGGCAGTTGAGGATATAAAGAACTGAATTATGACCAAAAGATCTGTTGTGCATCCTTTAAAACAAGCCTCCTATGGTTCACAAATAAGGAATCGGGGAAAAAATAGTTTAAAAAGAAAAAACAGAACTAAACAAAAATAATTAGATAACTACAAATCAGAGACATTCTGCTGGAGAGGTGGAAAGGTAGGGTACAAAACTAGGGTGGGAAGAGCACAGAGGACTAAGGTGATGGTGCGAGGGTGAATTGAAGGTGGAAATTCTATGGAGATTTCACCTGATGTAAAATATATACCAATAAAGAAATTAAATATTTTAAAAAGCAAAAGCATGTCTCTTATGGCTCATTGTAGATAATAGGGTTTCCCTGTATGACAGAAAGCTAATGTTGACATCATATTGGATTATTTTTAAAAGTCTGAAGCATACCAAATCTTTGGTCACTTTTGATAAGATAGATTGGGAAAATAGCCAGGATGACATCTGTCCTAACTGGTCAGGGTTAGTGCTGGCTTACACTTGTGTCCTGGCATAATTATTAATTGCTCTCTTTTTCACAATTCATTTGTTAGGCTGCACAGTATATAGTCACTCTAAATTGTCTCCAAAAAGGGTGAGGTGTGGCTGATAAGTTGCAATTCTGGTAATTAATAGTATTTTTTGTCACAAGAATCATGCCTACCCTGAGTTTTCCTCATAATACTGGGAAAATACTTTTAGGTTTCTGTTATTGATCATTATCTGAAGTAATGATTTCCAAATGTGGCCATGCATCTTCCATATATTAACTGCATCAGCACTACCTTTGTACAGATAGTTTTATGGGTCTCACCACAGACCTCAACTAAATTTATGCTAGTTTGAACTAACATTACATTTTAAATGTGTACTATACTACTTTGTCACAACTTTTTAAAACCAATATATAGATGAACATTTCTACTTATGGTTGGGTAGTGTTTAGTGTTCTTGGTGGTGACTGCCTTATTGAGAATATGCCTAATATCAACTTGCATTGCCTTTTTGTTTCAGATGTCATCTGGGTGATTCTGAGTGTGGAGGTGGGTGGACTTTTAGGAGTTACGCAGCAGCTGTCATCCTTTGAAACGGAGTTCAACACACAGCCACATCGCAAGGTAGAAGGAAACTTCAACCCGTTTGCCTCTCCCCAAAAGAACCGACAATCAGATGAAAACAACTTAAAAGACCCTGGGGGTTCCGGGTTCGACTCGATCAGCAAAAATACATGGGCTCCTGCTCCTGACCAAACCGAGCAAGATGAGAATAGACTCTCACAGAACTCTGTAAATCTGTCCCCCAGCAGTCACGCAAACAACTTATCAGTAGTGACATACAGTAAGGTAGGTGCCCTCGGAGAAGAGGAGAAGGGGTAGGTGGTGGGCCTTGGGATTTGTGATACCCCTCATGGCAAACCTAGAAGCCTAGAATGTTCTTTAAGACTGCTTAGCTTTCCTGCCAACAGCAACAACACAAAAACCTACCCCTTCTCCCCTCCCCCCTCCCCCAATCTTTGTGTCCTGTGGATGTTACTTCATCCACATTTATAATTTACTACTGTCTCTCTGCTCTGGTTTGGGTGTTGAAAGAACAAAATATTCTTTACTTTTGATATTTAAACAAAGTCAAAATATCACCAGCCATGCTTCCAGGGTAAATGTATACTAAGCTTAGAGCAACAGTGATACACCTTTGGAATTTGTTTTGGGTCGGGTTGTTTTTTTTTTGGTTGTTTTTCCAAGGAAAAAGACAAGCTCAGTGTTCATGGGCTTTCACTTTATTTACCTTGTGTGCATGTTCTTGTGGATGTCTTTTCAGTCTGTTGTGGCCCAACTTACTCATCACCTGCAACCCACAGTGGCCCAAGTGATATTTTGACTTTTCTCGGGTAGGGAATATGTGAAGGAATTGTTTGTTTAGTTAAGTATGATTTTACATATTCTGATTGTTCTGAGACACTCTTACTGGGCTCTTGATCTCTTGATCTGTTTTTCTCTGTGCTGACTGACTAAACATCATCTTCCTAACTCTGCTAAGTTGCTGACGGCTTAGTGTGGTTGGTTTTGGTTGGTTGAATACAGTCCTGATGCTGAGAGCTCAGGTAGTAAGGTGGTTTGTGTGACAGGGGCCTGTGAGCATTCCTGTGCGTTCTTCTCTGACCGATAATAATGTGTATTAGCCCAGCATTCCCACAAACAATCATGTAATTGATGGGTCTGTCCTTGCTTTGTGTTGGCATTTTCCCTCAAAAGTTTAAAAATAAAGTTGATATTTATTTGAGGAATACAAGTTGCTTTGGTGTAAGAATGTTTTTTTCTGACCAGAGCTTTGTGCATGGTCTAGCACAAGAGGCAAATTAAGAATCCTGGTGATGTGAATCATTGTCTCTATATAGTCACTAGTGAGAAGGAGCACATGCAGTAGTATTGTAACCAAGGTTTGATTATTGATTAGTCACTGTAGAGAGTCTGTGGTGCGTTCAGGTGAACAAGATATGAAAGTAAGTTGCCTGTATTTGAGAAAAATGCAACATCTTAACGTTCTAATAAAAGTTTAATATAAATTTCTACTGTCCAGATTTTTTTCATTAATTTTAAGCCTCCAGAGTATGACTCTTCTGGGGGCTATGTGAGCCAGGTCCTAGACTAAGCTACCTATTATAATGGGAACTTGGAGCAGTTGAGCTTAATGGGCTGGTTAGAGTTAGAGAAGACAAAACCAGGTGCTCTGGTGCCTTCTGCAATGGCAGCCTCTTTATCCTGCTGAGCCACTTGGTATGGCCATCACTTGGGAGTCTTAGGAGAGGGCTGGTGTTCCTGAAACTAAGACTGCGAGCTTTTTTCTGATCCTTTGGAATGTTAAGGGGCCCTCCCTGTGGCACAGCGGTTAGCGGCTGCTTTACTGCGAGTTTGATCCCCTGCCCTGGAGGTGATCCATGTGGCGCGGCAGACTTCTCTTGTTTCCCCTGCTGCTCCCCTCAGCAGTGTACTTCGTCCATCTGCCTGTTCTGCTTCCCATTCTGTCTCTGGTGAATACTCTCACCGCCCCAGCACCTCTATCT